AGAAAGAAAGAAAGAAAGAAAGAAAGAAAGAAAGAAAGAAAGAAAGAAAGAAAGAAAGAAGAAAGAGAGAGAGAGAGAAAGAAAGAAAAAGAAAGAAAGAAAAAGAAAGAAACTCTCATATCCTTCCTATCCCATATCCCTTCTTCTGTAATGTGCGTCCCTCCTAAACTATCCCTGTTCGTCCTGGGAAGAAGGTCTGTTCCCTGATTCCTCCCCCAGAAAGGAAGGTCAGAGCCAGTTTAGACAATCAAACCACCCCACCGAGCCGTCAACTTTACAGTGGCTTGTCACTTATGCCAACTTTGCAACAATTTGCCCAGATAGCCTAACTTCCTCAAGGCTATAGCTCACCTCCCCGTTCCCAGCTCTATTTCCCTGGCGAAGGACAGCCATTCGCCTGGGCCAAACCTCCTGGAAGTAAAAGGGGGGTGGGAGGGGGTTCACCTGTTTCTTCTCCAAGTTACAAATTCACAAAGTTTGCTTAACCATCACCACCATCCAAGTGAGAACGTGGATTGTCCTAAACATCCGAAGAGATTTCTCGTGCCTGTGTCGACCTTCCCATCTCCTAACTCCAGCCCCAGGCAACCCTGGGTCCATCAGCCCGTCATTCACCTCGATTTTGCTAACTGCCTTTACTGGGTACAAGGATAAGATCACATTATTTCTGTCCTTCATTAATATGGTGTATGACATTAATTTATTTGAGGGTGTTATACCCAACTTGCACACCTGGGATAAATCTCAGTTACGGTGTATATCCTCTTTCTGTGTTGACGAATTCAGTCTGCTGGTATTCTGTTGAGGATTTTGACATCTATATTCACAAGAGATGTTAGTCAGTGGTTCTTTTCTTTGGGGAAGAGGAGGGGATTTTAGAATTTTCAGGAGTTTTCTTTTGTTCCTTAACACTCTTCACCTGCAGTATTACCACTGGATAGGGGTAGTAAGGTAAAAACTTGAATGTGATTCACAACAGACTCAATAGTCAACAAGAATTACCACCCCCTTGCTAGATTTTCTCTAAGAAATCACTAAATTGATTTTATTGCGCTTTGGGTCTCCACCTTGGTTGCACATGAAAATGACCTGGGGAACTTCTAAAAAATAAGACTCTGGGGCGCCTGGGTGGCTCAGTCGGTTAAGCCTCTGGCTTCGGCTCAGGTCATGATCTCATGGTTCGAGGGTTCAAAGCCCCGCATCGGGCTCTCTGCTGACAGCTCAGAGCCTGGAGCCTGCTTCGGATTCTGTGTCTCCCTCTCTGTCTGCTCCTTCCCCACGTACACACACACACTCTCTCTCTCTCTCTCTCAAAAATAAATAAACATTAAAAAAATAAAAAGTAAGACTGATCTAGAGTATGGCCTGGGGACTAGAGTTTTAAGCACTCCCCAGGTGACTCTAATCGCAGCCAGTGTTATAGCTACATTGGAGGCTTTTCCAAAGTCTTGTCCTTCCTTTTTCCTGTACTTTATCCTCCCCAGCATTTCATGGACCTCATAGAACCGTCTATTGCCTCCAGGACAAACCTCCAGTCCCAAGTGATGTTCCAATCTCCAATTCCAGATTAGGGTCTCTGTGCCCTCTTTCTCTCTTTGGAGTCAGATGTTACTTCAAAACGTTCCATCCACTTGCCTTTTATTCCCTTTGCAGAGACTGGCAACCCAGCTCTGACCCTCCTCCCAGAATTAGTCACCTGCTGAGAAAAACCGGTAGTTTGTAAGGCCCTGGGATAATGTTTCTGAAAGTTTTATCAATCTGACAGATGTGGTAGGGAAGTGGGTCGAGGGTTTGTTCCTGCCTGCAGCCTGTGGCAGGTTGGCAAGAGCAAAATCACAAGGTAAGAGCAATAATTTGAACTCCTAGGAGTAAAAAGGTGAAGCCCTGGGGCCTTTTCTAGAACGCATGGACTCTCAGGTCAACCCCTGACCAGGTATTAGAGCGGATGTGGAAAGCCAGCGGTGTAAGAAAATCCTCAAGACACAAATATTAGGAATTCCACTTTAGGCTCTGACCCTGACCCCGACAACATCTTAGAAATAAAACCCAGAGCCGGACTCTCTAAAACAGGGGAAGTGAATGAAACCATGTATCAATGATATACAAAGTCTCCTACAAGGACCCATGATAATGTTGCTTATCACATTGTAATGTAAGTCTTATCTACTTCCTGTTTCCCCACAGTCTGTGAGGGCCTTGAGGGCAAGGATCCTTCCAGATCTCTGCTAAATAAAAAAAAAGCGGGGGGTTAGGGGGGCGCCTGGGTGGCTTAGTCAGTTAAGCATCTGACTTCGGCTCAGGTCATGATCTCACAGTTCGTGAGTTCGAGCCCCGCGTCGGGCTCTGTGCTGACAGCTCAGAGCCTGGAGCCTGTTTCAGATTCTGTGTCTCCCTCTCTCTCTGACCCTCCCCTGTTCATGTTCTCTCTGTCTCAAAAATAAATAAATGTTAAAAAAAAAATTTTTTTTTAATGTAGCCAAGGAAACTTCGTTAGTCCTTATTTCAATGGTATTAAGTAAAATCCTATTCATCTCTTACTACATTTTTGCCAGTAACATTGAGTCCTACAGACCTGCTTTTTGCTTATAGTGTTATCAAATGAGATTCCAGAGCCTACCCTTAAAACTGCAAGATTGTTTAAAAGCAATCTTCTAGGGGCGCCTGGGTGGCTCAGTCGGTTGGGCATCTGGCTTCGGCTCAGGTCATGATCTCACAGTTCATGAGTTCAAGCCCCGCGTCGGTCTCCGTGCTGACAGCTCAGAGCCTGGAGCCTGCTTCCGATTCTGTGTCTCCCTCTCTCTCTCTCTGCCCCTCCCCTGCTCATGCTCTGTCTCTCTCTGTCTCAAAAATAAATTAAAAAAAATTTTTTAAATAAAAAATTAAATAAATACATAAATAAATAATAAAAATAAAAACAATCTTCTAAAATGTCGAAGGTGATGTCCTCCCCGCAGCTAGAAGGGCAACAGCAACTTCCCGCATCATAAAGCTTGCTAAAGAGTCTGACTTGGTAAAGTACTAAACTGAAAACACTTACAAAAATATCAACCTTGTTATATATTGTGCAATATGGGGGCTTCACGAACATTTATGACTGCTACCCACTTGCTCTGCTCTCTGTTAAGCTAAGTCAGTCCTTAGAGTACCATTTGAACAAAATGGTCTTGAAACATTCTGGAGCCACCCAGGCGCCCCAGAAACGGAAATTCTTATTGGTGGCTGGACTTGATCATCCATTGGCCTGGTAATAATGTTCTAATCATCAACAATGCTACATTCCTGAACAATATAACTAAGACCAACTCGATTGGCACTTTCCTCTTCTTTCATAGAATCAATTGGCCCTATCCTCTTCTATCACATAATGAGAAATAAAAACCTTTGACTGTCAGGATCATTATTTGACTAAAGAGGTCAAAAGCCTCTCCTCCTTTAAGCGAGTACAATGCACAGGGTCTTAATGAACCCACAGTAACTGGGATAGTCAACTTCTGCAGCCAACTCTCAGCACCTAGAATCATATCACACTAAAACCACCTCTAGAAGATACCTTCAAAAACACTGGGTCCAATCTCTTCATTTTTTTCTTATAACTTCAGTTCTTTTCAAAGGCAACTGA